CTAGAGTCAGCACCCCCAGGCTCAGCACCCTCAGCAGCACCAGAGTCACCAGCAACCTCGACAGGCTCGACAGCGTCTACCTGGGACACACTTGACGGGGCAGGACCCTGAGGGGGGAGGGGGTGTACCGAGGGGGGACCTGGCACAAGGAAGAGCGGTGGCGGGGCAAGGGACGTAGTGCGGTAGGGGAAGAGGCGGTAGTAGGGGACCGACTTGTCAAACGTGACGTCCTGGGAGGACACAACACGGCGAGAGGTGGGGTGGTAGAACTGCCACCCTGGCGCGTCAGGGGGGAAACCCAGGAAGACGCAAGGAGTAGCACGAGGGAACAGTTTGTCCGCAGACAAGTTGCGGACAAACGCCCGAGATCCCCAGACACGGAACGCAGACGCATCGCCAACCTTCCCCGTCCACAGAAAATGGGCGGCAGCCGCATGCATCATTGACGTACGAGCGACGTCCATGACCATGCCAATGCGGCGCTCAGCAATCCCATTTTGCTGTGGAGAGTCCGGAAGCGTGAAGGCCTGGCGGATGCCTCGTGCACGACAGTAGGCTCGCAGAAGGCGAGAGGAGAACTCTCCGCCTCTGTCAGAGTGCAGACGCAGAACACGAAAGTCCGAGCCGAAGCTCTGCCTGAGCTGGAGACGAGCTGCACGGATCCAGTCGATCAACACCTCAGTGACATCACCTTTGCTGCGCAAGGGGAAGACTGTGGTGTAATGCGAGTAGTCGTCAACCACCAGCAGGAAGTAGCACTCGTGACCCTGCCCACGGACGCGGGCTGGGCCCCACACGTCCATGTGAAGCGTCTGCAGCGGGGCCTCTGTCGGAGTAAACTGGGAGGAGTGACGGGCAGCACGCTGCCGCCCCTCGACGCAGGGGACGCAGGCAGGGGCGGGCCCCGGGGGAAGGGGAGGGAGGGACCGTGGAAGACCAGAGATAAGGACACGGGACGCCATGCCTCGGAGACGAGGCAGGGAGGGGTGACCAAGGCGGTGGTGCCAAAGGAGAGTCTCATGAGACAGGAGACGACACGAGCAGGGGGCAGACTCAGGACCAGACCTGGACGCTGCAGCAAACACCTGACCCGACGCAGCTACCCGACTAGACGCAGTGACTGGAGGAGACTCAGTGGTCAGTGTGTACAGGCTCGAACCCGTCCGACGTGTAAACGTGGCCAAGTGTCGGCCCGTCCGAGCGTCCGTGCAGTGGGTCACCCGCTGGCTCGCAGGAGTGAACTGGTGCACTCCCCCATCCTGTAGGTCAGCACCACTTACCAAGTTCGTAGAGAACGAGGGGAGGTAAAGACCAGACAGGGTGCCAAAGGGAGCCGCCGGACACGGGAGGACAGTGGAGAAGTGAGCAAGGACAGGACCCCCGGAGGGGTCTGCCAGAGAGACTGCAACTGGCCGACCAAGCGGCGTGAGTGTGGTGCGGTCTCGAAAGAAGGAGCAGCAGTCCCAATGCCCGGGCCGGGCGGAAAACACCGGTAACAGTCACCCTCATCACTAATAGTCACAGCATACATGGCAGCAAGAATAGCATCGAAGTCAAGGTCAAAGATAGCTACTCCCGCCCTAGACAGCTCTCCCCAGCGAGGGATCTCAGTGGCCTCAGGGAACTGGTGACGCCAAGCGTCCGTAAGGCGGCCAAAGCATCGCTGGGTGGAGTGCGCACCCCCGCACTGCTCACCCGCGCGGTCGCCGGTGCTCAGGACGTAGGTGCACGGACCAGTACCCCCACCCCGCTGGCGTGCAGCGTACCACTCACGGAGCTGCTGAGGGGGGGGGATGTCACGAGTGCGCTGCTGCTGCTGCTGCTGCTGGCGCTGACCACCAGCAGAGCCGACCCTCTGCGCAGCGCCACCCCGACCAGCTCCGCCTCCTCCGCCGCCGCCTCCTCCTCCGCCGCCACCTCCGCCACCTCCGCTCCCACCACCACCGCCGCCTCCGCCTCCACTGCCGCCACTGACACCTCCACCCCCGCCACCACTCCCACCACCACCCCCACCCCCTCCACTGCCTCCACCGCCACGTCCGCCACCCCCGCCAGCCCCTCCAGCGCCCTTGCCCCCCTTGCCCTTGCCGGTGCGGCGTTTCCCGCTCGGGGCAGACGCAGCGCCGACCGACTCGAAACCAACGAGGTCGGCCGCAGCAGCAGAGGCAACAGAGGGCAAAAGGGGGGAGGGGGAACACCCCTCAAAGACGGGGGTGCGAGGGTCACCATGAGAGGCTCCTTCAGCGACTATGCTCTTCTCTGCTGCTAGGATGGACTTCTCGAGGAGGTCAACGGTAAGAGTGGTGGGGCAATTAGAGAGGAAGTGGTCCCTGACTACGCGGAGGGAGTCAGGGAGCCGGGCGACGATGTAGTAGAGGGTGATGTACATGGGAGGGGGGTTCTTGGCGCAGAACTCAGCAGGAAGCGCAACGCGGTAGCGAGTGTCACTAGTGCGGAGGTGCGTAATGAGGTCAGTGACTGTGGGAAAGGCAGCAAGGTCAGGGAAGAGGTACGGTAGCATGAGGCCGCTCAGTGCAGCACTGGCAGGGGAGGAGTAGCGTGCGACTACAGCGTCGGACAAGGTCTGAGCACTCTTGTACTGGCTAAAGTGCGCACGCTCAGAGGTAGGCAGGTGGCGACGCACAGCAAGACGTGCAGCAGCATCGCGTGTGGCCCACTGTGAGCGAACAGTGGCGTCAGCATCAGCAGCAGGGGCAGGAGAGGCACCAGAAGTGAGGTCAAAGAGGGAGAGACCGTCTGCCCTATCGCACTGTAGGAAAAGTTGTAGGTCATCTATCCAGACGTCAAAGTCAATAGCCCGACCCTCAGCGTCAAAAGTGAGGACACTAGGGGTAGCCATGACAGCAGTAGACTAGCAGCGCGAACAGTAGGGTAAGGGCAGTGCAGTGACAGAGGCGCTGTTCTTACCAGACAGGGCGGCTCGGGCGGCTCGGGCGGTACGGCGGCTCGGCAGCTTGGGGACCCGACGGCTCGGGCGGCGCAGGCGGCTCAGGAGGCACGGCGGCTCGGCAGCAGTTCGGCGACACCGGGGCCCGGTGGTGACGGGGGGGGCCGTGTGGGGACGGCGGTGGGGCCGGGTGGAGCGGCGGCGGGGCCAGGTGGAGCGGCGGCGGGGCCGGGTGAGGCGGCGTCGGGGCCGGGAAGGGCGGCGCCGTGGCCACAGGGGTAGGCGACGGGGCCAGCCGAGGTGGCACCGGGGCCAGGAAGGGCGGCGCCGGGGCCGCAGGAGTAGGCGTCGGAGCCGCTAGGGCGACGCAAGGGGCCGCAAGGGCGGCGCACGGTGGGCCGACGGGCGGCTCGAAGGGCCGCAAGGGCGGCGCGCGGAGCCGACGGGCGGCGCAAGGGGCCGCTAGGGCGGCGCGAGGGGCCGACGGGCGGTGCGAGGGGCCGCAAGGGCGGTGCGCGGGGCCGTAAAGGGCGGTGCGCGGGGCCGCAAGGGCGGTGCACGGGGCTGTAAGGGCGGCTCAAGGGGCCGTGAGAGGGGCCGTGAGAGGGGCCGCTAAGGGCGGCGCGACAGTAGGGAGGGCACGCGGGGCGCGCGCGACTCGGTCTAGGGTGAAGCGCGCTCCGGGCAGGGGAAAAAAAAAAGTATCGTGGTGGGCCCTAGGTAGCGTTCCCTCTAGGGAACCTGCTCGATACCATGAGAAGAAACGAGAAATAGATGAACTATGAAACAGTTGGGTACAAGTACTAACCCTAATTGGGTTGTACCCCTTAAGGGCTACCCCACTATAGCCTACACAAATGTATAAGCTATAATGTTATGACATTAACAACGCTTGACACCAACCACTTCTTGACACTTGCTAGGGATATGACATAAGTCAACCTCACAAGTGTTTTGTTGGTAGTAGTCAGAAAACATTCCGACAGCGCATCGTAGCCTAGTAAAATACGCAGAACTTAGGAACTTCACCCGCGCATACACAAACTTGTTGTGCCTCGCCTCCAGTCGTTGCATCTCCTATCGCCGCGCCCCATCGTTTCTGGGAGCCTCCCCTCGTCGCGGCTCCGCTTGCCTCGTCGCGCCTCCGCTCGCCCCGCCGCGCCTCCGCTCGCCTCGCCGCGCCTCCGCTCGCCTCGCCACGCCTCCGCTCGCCTCGCCTCGCCTCCGCTTGCCTCACCGCGCCTCTGCTCCCCTCGTCGCGCCTCTGTTCGCCTCGCCGCGCCTCCGCTAGCCTCGCCGAGCCTCCGCTCGCCTCGCCGCGCCAACGCTCGCCTCGCCTCGCCTCCGCTCGCCTCGCCGCGCCTCCGCTCGCCCCGCCGCGCCTCCGCTCGCCTCGCCTCACCGGTCGTCCAACGTTTGGTCGGATTGCCATAATGGATCTTACAATCCATGTTTTTTGCGGAATGGTATCCATACATGGAGCCACAACCATTCAAATTTTACAACATTGGAGATTTCTAGTCGCGTGGGCAAAAGCACTTGCCGTCCAAACTGTGGGAACGACTCAGATCGAAATCACTGCGTCAACCTCTGTTGTCATGAAAACCCCTGCGTCGCGATAACATTGACGAAAGTGGATGATTGGGTTCGCGCAACCGCCGGTCTTGGGAGAGCCATATCGCGAAAATCGCATCGTCGTCGTTCACAACACCTGCGAAGCATGCGCAACAAACAATTCCCAGATTTAATTCCACCTGGCGGAAAAGCAAAATGTCATCCTGCCAAGCCGTGAGTTTTCTTCCTCCCCCCACCGAATCCCACGCCTTTGAAACATGCGCAACGCTCAGCCCCGCGTTGAACGCACAATCTCCTGTGGGAGCCTCTCCCTCCGCTTGGCAAGATGAAACCGTCATGTAGGAGACCCACCCCAACTCGTGAATTATAGTAGGCTCGTCATATCGTGTTCTCATCAGTAGTCGTTCACCTTCTTCAAGAGCTTCTCAGCCAGCCACTCCGTTCTGCTCCTGTTCACCGGCTATTCTCCTCTCACGCTTACTATTCTTGCAAGTCGGGATAAACTCCTTTGCCACTAATGGCTCGGACAAAGCAACGTGTTAAGGCTGTGCTGCCGGTGCTTCTATTTTTGCTGCTCGTGACGTCAGCATCGTATGTTGCGGCTGGTAAGCTCGCTCCTACGAGTACACTCGTACTATCGTGCGTTTTGAACGGTTTTAGAGGTGCCTCAAAGAGCAATTTTTGCGTTCCGATTTTTTGTTGCAAGTACCATCATGCATTTCGAACGATAATCTACTACCTGAGCCAATATCGGTAGTATTTGGATGAGGTATCTATACACATCGGGATATCATGCTACATTCGGTTCTACTACTAGTTCTTTGACTTACTCTACTTGTCGACCTCTTCCGCCGTCTCTGTGGAGCAGCATCCAAGCGATTTGTCTCCTCGCGGCGCATTCTTGGCGGGGGAATCCCCGGCGGGACTGTGAACCACCTCCAGAAATCCGTCGAGTCGACCCCAACCGCCGTGAAACTGGCAAGCATCACCAAGTCAACCACCACGTCCGTGAAAATGGCGGCCACGACCCAGCCAACCACGACACCGAGCGTAAAAGTGATGATCAGGAGAACCACGGTCACTACCGTGTGCGAACCTACCAAAACCAAGGACTTAAAATCCGTGAGCTTTCCAACCCTCACTGGCAATACAGCCACAAAACCTCAATCTTAGGAAGCTTGGTTGGGAAACACAATTGGCCAAGATTTTGGAGTAGCATTTCAAAGAATTAAGATTAAGTTAGGAAGGTTGAACCAATTCGACCCTTCTTGGCCTCCAGTTTTAAAAATTGCAGCCTATATCTTTGTAAGAGCGTTGTGTGTTGAAAACATACAAGATTGCATGTGCTGGTACGTGTGAGTTGGCAGCTGTCCTCTGTACACGATGTTGTAGTACACAGAAAGAATTTTTCTTACAGTTATCAACCATGGCAAAAAACAGTAACACATCAATTGACAAAATGTATGCATTCATGACAAAATTCTGAACCCTTAAGACTTGTAAGGGCAGCACATAAGAAGTTTGATCCAGACTCCCCAACTGCTCATCTTACTGACATACTCCATTCTCTGAAACACGACTACATTCCTCTTTACTGCCCAACCAGCCTTCTCTTGCACACAACACCTTTACTGTAACGCGAAAATTTATCTGGATTTCAGGCACACTTCCGACAGCAGCACTTCACTGAAACAGCCACTCGATTTAATACCCTCCCGCCCGACCAAGGTTGACAAACCTGCTAGCATCCCCACCACCACCACCGCCACCACCACCCCTTCCTCCCCTCCCTCCACCATCGCCCCCTCTATAACCCCCCCTGCCTCCACGTCCTCCCCTTCCTCCCCCATCGCCCTCTCTATACCCCCCTCTCCCGCCCCCACCACCTCCTCCCCACCCGCCTCCTCATCCTCCTCTCCCTCCCCCTCGCCCCCCATACCCACCTCGTCCCCCCCCTCTCCCGTACCGCTCCCCAACCCCACCACCATAGTCATCCCTGCTCCCGCCCCCGTAGTCCCCGCCTCCGTCCTTGCCCTGCCTGCCCCTGCCTCTCTCCCCCCCCTGCGCCTTCGATCGTGGAGCACTCAGCTTCTTGCTCGGTAAGTTGTCCTTTCCAATACTAGTTTACGCGTCTAAGAGCAGCCGTCGTTTCTGAAGAAATTCTGCGTCTAGGGTTGCTTCCGTTGGTGATCTTAGCAAGCTGATAATTTTCACTTGTGAGCCCTACCCCTGTCACACGCTCCTGCTACTTCCCATGCATCCCACAAGTGAGCACACCTCGTGCACCCTTGCACCCATGGACCCATGTGCGCATGACCCAACCACGTAACCCATGCACCCCATTCAAGTACTATCTCACCCCATGTATCACATGCATGCACCCACCAGGTACGCACTCATGGAGGGCACCCATCAGCTCTTCCAATGTGACATGCATCCATGCATCCACCCACCCATCTACCCATCCATCCATCTACCCATCCACCCATCTACCCATCCACCCTTAACCTGTGTATCCCATTTATCGCATCGCATGTATCCCTTGCAATTACGCATGCACCCACCAGGTACGCACTAATGGACGACAGTCAGCAGCAGCAGCTAGCAGAGGACATCGGTTCCACTCGCCCCATGGTGTTGCAGAACCTCAGGGACCTCGCACACAACGCCATGCTCTTCACTCGCCCCATGGTGTTGCAGAACCTCAGGGACCTCGCACACAACGCCATGCTCTTCTGAGTGTGATGGGCCAGGGACGAGGACCTATATGCTCTGGATTCAGCAGCAGCAGCAGCAGCTAGCAGAGGACATCGGTTCAACTCGCCCCATGGTGTTGCAGAATCTCAGGGACCTCGCCATGCTCTTCTAGTCATGCACTTTTGACCATGCTCTTCTAACCAGGCCCTTGTACCCATGGTTTCCTAGCCCAACCCTTTTAGCCATGCCCTTGCGGACATGCCGTATCAGGCAGGCTCGTCTAAACATGGCAGGGAGGGCACCGTAAATGGGTGCACAACACACGCACTCGCAACTCCACGCACGATTTTCAGTGGTTGTGGACACCAACTGGCGTTCGTAGATGCGGCTGCTGTTCTACCTACGGTACCGGTATGCCTGGATCGAGACACTGTTTTGAGCGTTGCTCTGAGGCAGCACATGTTCAACATTCCCTGCTCAGGTCCAGGTGATTTTCTCAAAGTGAGATGTTGCCAAAGAGAGGTGTTGGCAAACAGTACGCGCATTTTCTCTATGAAGCGAGTTTGTTGCAAGGAAAAATGAGTTCAAACACTAAACTGCATGAAGCGTTTTGTGGCACAACCATCAAAGTTACGGTAAGTGGCAAAACTGATAAGACACAAGATTCTAAACCCTATGGACTTGAAAGGGCAGCACATCAGCAGCATGTTCCACACTCCCCAACTGCTCATCTCACCAACAGACTTCATATTCTGTAAAACTAGTTCCCTCTATACCAACCAACCCCTCTCTTCCACAGAAGACCTTCACTGCGACGCGTCAAAATTCGGGATTTCAGGCACGCGTTTGACAGCAGGTGTGTTTTGAGTCGACTCAAAACACAAATTCGGGATTGCAGGCACACGTTTGGCTTGACAGCAGCACTTGATCACAACAGCCACTCGATTTAATACCCTCCCGCCCGACCAAGGTTGACAAACCTACTGGCGTCACCACCACCACCACCGCCACCACCCCTTCCTCCCCTTCCTCCTCCATCCCCTCCTCTGTACCCTCCCCTGCCCCCACGCCCTCCCCTTCCTCCCCCATCTCCCCCTCTGTACCCCCCTCTTCCGCCCCCACCACCACCACCTCCACCGCCTCCCCATCCTCCTCTCCCTCCCCCTCGGCCGCCATACCCACCTCGTCCTCCCCCTCTCCCGTACCGCTCCCCGCCCCCACCACCGTAATCGTCCCTGCGTCCCCCCCCATAGTCCCCGCCGCCGTCCTTGCCCCGCCTGCCCCCGCCTCTCTCTCCCCCTGCGCCTTCGATCGTCATGCCGCCAGTCTTCTCTGAAAAGGCCCGCTCATTGCCCTCCACGAGAACTGATAGCTTATCCGCGTACTGCAAAATAAAAAAGACAAAGGGGGAAGAGAAAGAGAGAGAGGGGGGGGGTGGGGGGGGTAGGGGATTGGGGGTTTGGAAATGGAGGAAAAGTGAGTAGGCGCTAATACTATGCGATGGCCCGATCGTTAACCCCGCCTCGCTCTCCCCCTGCCCCTTCGATCGTCATGCCGCCAGTCTTCTCTGAGAAGGCCTGCTCATTGCCCTCCACGAGAACTGATAGCTTATCGGCGTACTGGAGTGAGTGGAAACACGGGAGAAAGGAGGGGGGGCAAGAAAGGAGGGGGGGCAAGAAAGGAGGGGGGGCAAGAAAGGAGGGGGGGCAAGAAAGGAGGGGGGGCAAGAAAGCAAAGAAGATAAGAGAAGGCTGCGGTCAGTCTCTTGCCACCAGATAATGCAGAAGGAGCAACTTCTTTCCAAAAAAAAGAGCATGTTGACTGCCTTGACCACAGTGGTATCCCCAGCACCCACAAATCCCATCCCACAGGCCCCCAACTCTCACCTGGAGGGCGAGGTGCTGCAGGCGCGTGGGGTTGACCGCGTTGACCACGATGCACTTGGAGGGCTGGTCCCAGCTGGCGCTGATCTCCTCGTTCATCATCATGCGGCTGGCAACCCCTGTCACTGCCTTCTCCGTCATGCCAAACATCTGAAGATTGAGGGAACAGCAAACACAAACACAGGGGGAAGGAGGGTGGTAAGGGAGTGCGAGGGCTGGTCCCAGCTGGCGCTGATTTCCTCATTCATCATCATGCGGCTGGCCACGCCCGTCACTGCCTTCTCTGCTATGCCAAACAACTGTAAGTGAAGATGCAGATGGGTAGATGCAGGGAATGAGTGAGTTGGCATGCAGATGGGCACTGATCTATTCGCTCTCATCATCCCGCGGCTCGTCACGCCCGCCACTGCCTTCAACCCAAACATCTGCTCCGAAAGAAAAACACAAGGGAATTGCAACTCAAGGCAGAGCATCCCCAGCACCTCCTCCCTCTTTCGTTTCCCTCCTTTAAACCCTTATTATCCGCTGTTAAATCTCTCCAAACCCTCTCAACCCACTCAACCGCTCAATCCGCACTGGTCCCATCTTTCAACCCCCTCCTTCGAACCCCTTTAAATCCGCCATTTAATCTCACCCAACCCCACCAACTCCCTCACAACCCCACCCAACCACACTCAACCCTACCAAACACCCACCTGTGTGAGCTGGTCGAGACTGATTGAGGCATAAGTAGAAGACGCATTGAAGAGGAACGTCCGCAAGGCCTCCTGCTGGATCTTGCCCCTCAGCATCCCCAGCACGGATTCCCTCTGCGCCACCGGCAGCAGCTTCCACACGTCCAGCGCCTCTGACAGCTGCACGGCCCGCTGCCAGTCGCCACACATGAGTGCGCGTGATGCTGCCATGACGTGATCCCTCACGTTCTCTGCAAAGAGAGAGAAGAGGGGGAGGACGGGCAAAGAGAGGAAAGAGGGGGGTTGAGGCAGCAGCTTCCACACGTCCAGCGCCTCTGCCAGCTGCACGGCCCACTGCCAGCCGCCGCACATGAGAGCGCGGGATGCTGCCATCACGTGGTCCCTCACGTTCTCTGTACGGAGGGATGGAAACGGGGGGAAGACAAAGGGTTGCGGTAAGCAGGCAGCAGCTTCCACACGTCCAGCGCCTCACGGCTCGCTGCCAATCGCCGCACATGAGCGCACGTGACGCTGCCATGACATGATCCCTCACGTTCGCTGGACAAGGCAACGACAACGTTGGGGGGGGACGAGGAGGGGGGAAGGAAAGAAGGGGAGGGTTGGAGCGGAAGCAGCTTCCACACGTCCAGCAACTGCCTCTGCCAGCTGCACGGCGCGCTGCCAGTCGCCGCACAGCAAAGCAGCATGGCATGGCGCACAGCAGATGCACCGCCTCCAGCAGCTCCAGATTCACATGCATGTGGTACGGCATCTGCACCCCCCCACTCAACCCCGTACTCTCCCTCACACTCCCCCACTCCACTCACTCAGGCATTCCCTCAGCACTTCCCATCGGAAACTCACTCTAAACAAACGTCGGGACAGAAGATACCGTGGGGAGCAGGGGGGGAGGAGGGGGAGGGGGACAAGCACTCACCAGGGGGGCCGGTGAACGTCTGGCGCTCGTACATATCGAGCAGCCGGCGGAAATTCTTCGAAATCACCCTCCTGCGCCCATCCGTGGAGTGCGCGGCCAGCGAAGGCACCTCGAGCAGCATGGCGCACAGCAGATGCACGGCCTCCAGCAGCTCCAGATTCACGTGCATGTGGTACGGCATCTGCCGGCGCCGCTCCACGCGCTCCTGCTCGGGGGTCTTCTCGTGGAACCGAGACTGGGAGACGCCCTGTGCGAGCAGCTCCTTCACGCGGCCGCCAGCGAAGAGGTCGGCGAGGCAGCTGTGGGCGTCCGGGATGAGCCCCCTGCGGAAGGCGGCAAGACCGAGCTGCGCCATGGCGCGGTTGAAGAGGATCTGCGTGCTGATGTCCATCTGCTGCACCGCGTCCTGTTGGAGGGAGCGGGAAGGGGGAATAGGGGCGGGTGGGGTGGGGGAAGGCGTGTGGGTAGGGAGGGGAAGGGCGAGGGGAAGTATTGAACCGCCTCACAAGGGGCCATGGCGCGGTTGAAGAGGATCTGCGTCCTGATGTCCATCTGCTGCACCGCGTCCTGTTGAAGGGAAGGGGGGAGGACGGGGCAGGTTGAAGGGGGAAGGTATGGGGTAGTGCACGATATGAGGCCTCTCAGAAGGTGCCATGGCACGGTTGAAGAGGATCTGCGTGCTGATGTCCTCAAATCCGCTTCCCCTATCCAACCCCCTCTTAAACCCTGTCTGGAGGTGAGATATATACTCGAGACAACCCCATATGGCAGTCATCTTGCATTGCGTGGTTTTGAGATTTCTCAACCGCAACCCTAAAAACGCCCTCAAATACTTATTTCCCTTCATTTGTTTCCAGGATTCGAAAGCTTGAGCGCAAATGTAGAACGCCCCTCTAAACCCTCAACCTCCTCTTGCAACAACACTCAGACGCCCGCCTAAACCCCTACCTGGAGGTGGGAGATGAGCATGAGGTCGCGCGCCGTGTGGTACTCGTCGTTGATCGCGTGGTGGTAGATGTCGCACAGCATCGCGCGCGCCTTGCTGCGCTCCTCCCCGTGCGCGTACACCACCGCCAGCAGCGCCTTCATCATCGCGCGCCCGCTCTCCGGGAAAACCGGCCACCGCGGAACCGCTTCTGGCGTCGGGATAAACGCGGGCGGCCCGTACGAGTTCACCGCGATCGCGGCGCGGCGCTTGGCGTCTTTCGCGGCGGCGGACTCGGGCTCGTCGTCTGGCGACGCGTCCTCGTCGCCGGCGGCGGCGGCGTCCGCGGGGGTTTCGGCGGCGGCGGCGGCGGCCGCCGCTGCCTGCTGCTGCTGCTCCGACATCAGGCGCAGAGCTGCGTACACGTTCTGTGGGGACGCGATTGGGTGCAACGCGAGCGAGGGGGAGCGAGGGGGGTGCACGGGGAGCGATGGGGAGCGATGGCATGCAGATATGGATACGAAGAGGGGAAAGAGGGGGAATGATGAAAGCGGAGGGAGAGGAAGAACGAGGGAAGGAGGGGCAAAACGAGAGCTCGAAAAAAGCGCGAGACAGTGCAGGGATGAGGGAATGAGGGAGGGGAAAGGGGGGGCCGGGAGGGGAGTGGCGCGAAAACAAAAACAGAAGGAAGAACTATGCAACCAAAAAGGACAACGAAACCGTAAATCAAGAGAACAATTCAGATGCAAAAACATAAAGCACGAAGTTGGGGAGGGGGGGAGGGCGCAGACAGCGGGGTTGGTGGGCGAGTAAGAAGAACGAGGGCGAGAGGAAGGGAGAGATGAGAGGGCATGGGTTACCGGAGACATGTGGAGAACATAACCGACCAGGGACTCGCTTTGTGACGCCACAAAAGCGGACAGAAAGCTACTCCAAGAGAAGGTTAACCCGTTAGAAAGCTACCGTTAGAAGACTAACCTGAGGCTTGTAGTAGATGTGCTCGCACAGGCGACGAGCCGCACGCGACGCGCCCTTGGTGTCGCCCACGCGCAGCGCGTACGCTTGCGCGTTCTGAGCCAGCGCGAGCAGCGTCGGCTCGTCCTTAAGCCGCTCTAAGTACGTCTTAGTGTACGGATCCGTGCATTGCAGGCTCTTAAACAGCTCATCATCCATACGCTCTACAAACGACACCACCGATCCCCACACCCGGATCTTCCCCTCGAAATCCGCGCCTTTCTGCGTCTCGTTATCGTCCTCCACCACCTCGTAATTCTCGTCCAGGACAATGTTGTGGTTTCCCTCGAGAATGTCGAGAATCGTCATTATATTCTCCGCGCATTTCCTCCAAACGGGGACGGGCAGATGCAGGTGAAGATTCTGCGAAACGTCGAACTGCGCGGACACCACCTGCATCATGACCTCCAGTTTCTGCGCCGGGGTTTTTGCGACTTTAGCCAGGTAAGTCAGCTGCTCCACCTGCTCCACCCTATCCGTCCCCTTGCGACCCCTAGCCGCAATAATCTCCTTAAGCTTCTGATTCACCTCCTCCCACTTAATCTCGCTATGATCCCTCTGAAACTGCTTCTCCATCGCCCGGTCCTTCTTGCTCTTCTGCGTCTCCCACCCTTCCCCTCCCTCCTCCTCCTCATCCCCTCCCTTTCTATCCAATGGATCTTCCACCCCCTCCTCATCCTCCTCCTCGTCCTCATCCTCCTCTTCCTCCTCGTCGTCGTCCTCCTCCTCCTCTTCCGACTCAGGACTCGCCCGGAACTTCTCAATAACGGCCTCGTACAGCTTATTATTCTTCTTCAGCTTCTGCTTCATGTAATTCAGAGCCTTGGCGTTGCTGCTGCTCATCTTTTTCTTCGCCTCTTTGTTCGTTAAAGCGGCGTTCAGGTGGTCTTCCAGCAGCACGACACCCTTAATGTACGGCCGCGGGGGCACGGAGGATTCGATCAGGCGCAGCACTTTCTCAAGCTGCTTGTTCAGCTTCTCAAAGCTCTCCTGCAAACAGTGCAATAAAGTAGAGTGGAAGAGGAATAGGCGAGGAACAACAAGGACCAGAGGAAGGTTGAGTAGCTGTCTTCCGAAGCACAGCGCCCTGGAACAGTTGGTGAAACCCTAGATCCCAGAGCTGTGCCAGAGATTTACAGCTGCACGCCACTTTGGTATTCCAGCAACATCGGGCACGGAAAATCCGTTCTATATGTTGAAAAATCCGTACCTGCAGAGCGACCCAGTCGTTAATCTTCATCTGGTTCTTAATCTGCTCCACCGTCGACACCATCTCGTCGTACCGCTTCTCGCGGGCCGGCCGAACGACGCGCGCGCGACCGTCGTCGCTGTCCTCGCTGTCGCTGTCGCCCTGTCGCAGGTAGATCGACGCTCGCCCGGCATCGCCGGCGGCCTTGGGGGCCTCGTCTTCTTCCTCCTCCGACTCTTCCTCTTCGACTTCTTCCTCCTCCTCCTCGGACTCGCTGTCAGACTGCAGAGAGAGTTGGTGGGAATGAAAACATGAAAAGTTAGGGTTTCAGAAACAGGATTCTCCTCCCGTTCCCTCCGACTGCTCCTCTTCAACTTCATCCTCCTCTTCCTCGGACTCGCTGTCAGACTGCAAGGGGATGTGGTGGGAAAATGACTCAACATGTCAATGACTAACTTATCCTATTCTTTCTCCTCCTTCCCCTACTCCCCCGACACATCCTCCGCTCATCCTCGACCCTCCTATGACTTCTTCTCCTATCCAATGACTACTCGTGTACGACGCCCCCCTCCACCAAACGTCTCACTACTAAACTTAACAGTCTCATCCTCCTCCTCCGATTGATTGATCGAACGCGTGCGGGGAAGGTCAGTAGAAAATTGCGAAACATGAAATGGAAAATTAGGGTTCACGTTACGCTAAACGTGTAAAGTTCATCCGACTCGCTGTCAAGCCGATTGATTCTAGACGGACCAACACATCCGCTTCTGGATGATTAGGTATAATATCGAATTTCGGTCCATTTATTTTCAGGTCTAGACGACTACGCAAAATCCTCCGTCAATCTCCATGTAGTTTTCAGGCTCAAACGGCATACCACCACGCGATCGATCTACACGTGGAACTACCGAGTTTATCGGACGGTTTAGACGTATGTCGTGGTTGATCGGACGATGCGCAACTAATCGTCTGCAACAACCTCATTCTCCCGAACTTGGCCAGTCTTAGTCTCACTGATAAGTCAAAAGAATTTGATCAGCCATGCATCCACCATCTACCGATCAGCGTGCCTAAAACTGTGAGCAACCAGGAAATTTCATCCACAGCCAGTACGCGCGCATCTACTATCCACCTAAAATCGCACCTGCATCCAGAAACGGGACGCCATGGCTGCGGATGTCAGAGGCTCGAGTCGCGAAGACCGAGGTTCTGAATGGCGAATCGGGTGCTGCAGGGGGCCTGAGGACTGATAAGCTCCTAGGGTACCTGATCTGCTCCCTGGCAAGAGAGCAATAGAATCAGCAAGTGCTGAACTTAGGGAGGTAACGCGGAGACGTGAAAGCGGACAGATGGGGGAAGATGGTTCGGAAGGGGGGGAGTCGAGGAAGGCTTGCGGCGGGGTGATTCATGTTGAGCGGGGGAAACTGGATGTACGGGGGGGAAATGTGCGATCGGGTACCTGGTTGACTGATAAAACAACGCTTTTAGCTAAGAGGAACTAGAGTAGTGGTGGGAGAATGAAGCTGGAATTGAGAACCTCGATCTTCTCGTGAGCGTTGGTATGCCACCGCATGCAATCAACTCAGATAACAATCTACAGATCAAAAGAACTATATTAATAAAGTGAAATTTACATTCCAATGATAGACAGCCCAATCCATATATATATGTAAATGTATTGTAATTGCAATGACTGCCCAGTCGATTGTTCACTTCGTCAAAATTGATTGAATCATGGTAATTTTGCAACAAATGCCTCATCTTCTCCTGGAAGTGGCTCATTCTTGGGATTGTTTTACTTTATATATTGGCGGATTGATAATGTATCACCACCACCTGTTCCCAAGGGAGCAGAATTTACTCAAACTCGATCATGGTCTCGCCCAGCGACACAGAGGCCCCGACCTTCACATATACAGCCTTTACAGTGGCTGCCTCCTCAGCACGCAGCACGTTGCGCATCTTCATGGCTTCGATCGTTATCAGCTCATCACCAGGAAGCACCTGTTGGACGAGGAAACATACGAGTTAAAGACAAAGTTGAGCGAAAATGGTCGCTGAGTGATGTTTAGAGACTACTAGAGCATGCAGGTGATTCCCAGCTGCATAGCTTGCACGTCCAATGTCTTGATGACAGAACAGTTTCCCTCACCTTCTTGTTTGGCTTGACACCGATTGCGACCACTGCACCAGGCATAGGAGCCTTGACCATCTGCACAAACAGGAGAGAAATGTATACAGACGGACTCGAGGAAAATGTGTCGGACTCGAGGGATATGTGTATCAGATATGCCAGCAAGGATATGGAGAAGGATGTAAATATAACACCTAGAAAAGATGCAAGATTGGACATCGCACCTTGGAGACATCTTGAACCTTCTTGGGTGGCATGTACTTCTGTAGAGGAGCCACCTTCTTTTGATGCACCAGCACTTCGTCCTGTAGTGGGCGCCGCGTGTGGAGAGAGGGGAAAGAGATCAATCGCCGAGAATGAGAGAGGATTTTATCTTTTCGCCACTTCAGAAAGAGACGCAAGAAGGGGCAACCTTCATCTGATGCACCAGCACCTCTTTCTGTTCCAGAATGAACATCTGGCTGTAAATCCGGCACACGTTCAGCCAGACTCAAGGTTGGAAATCTCAATCAAACCACGCCAAACATGGAAAGTGTTACCCAAATCAGCATACCTGGTGCGGCCATCGTATACCAGCTTGAATCATCTGGCGTGCTTCTCCACGACCATACACACGGTGTGTTGGACCATTCAAAAAGCAAATTGCCTGGAGACAGCCATTCTTACCCAGAGGAACATTGTACCTTGGTGCAGCCGTCATACACGAGCTTGAACCCTCTCGCATTGTACCATGCACACGGTGTCCTCCGCATCCACTCCGATATCCACCACCCCCCGCCCCAGCCCCAGCCCCAGCCCCAGCCCCAGCCCCAGCCCCCCAGCCCCCCAGCCCCAGCCGCACTGCTTGCGAGGTGCCTCAGAAGAGAGCATACCTTGGTGCAGCCGTCATACACAAGCTTGAACCCTCTTGCGTGTTTCTCCATGACCATGCACACGGTGTCCTCCCCATCCACTCGGATATCCACCACCCCCCGCCCCAACCCTGCTGGCACCGCCTCCTCCACCCGGATCACCTCCCCCCCCACCTCGATATCCTGCCGAGAAGCAAGGGATACAGGGGGCGCAGGGAGGGGAAAAGGGATGCGGGGAAATTTTCAGAATTCTCAAAAACATCCTGCCGGAAAGCGAGGGATACGGGGGGTGCAGGGAGGGGAAAAGGATGCGGGGAGCCGACAGAGAATACAGCAACATGGAGGTAAGGACACGCGAGGAAATGTTTTAGTCGACAAAAAAAACGTCTCATCACATAGGGCGTGGGGATACGGGGAGCAGACAAAGGATATAGGGAGGTGGGGATAAGGGGACTCATCGCACTTTATGAACATGCAACATGGGGCGGTTGAGAAACCACAGCACTTTATGAACACTCACCGCAACACAGAGGTGCGGCTTCTTCTCATTGCTCCAATGCCGCACCACCACATCATGCTCCTCCCCATCTGAACTCACCACCAGCTCCGCCTTACCCCTCAAACCCCCCCCCAACCCCAAGTATCAGAACATTCAGTGGGAAATACATGACAGCCACTCACCGCAACACAGAGGTGTGGCTTCTTCTCATTGCTCCAGTGCCGCACCACCACAGCATGCTCCACCCCATCCGAACTCACCACCAGCTCCGCCTTCCCCCTCAGCCCCTCCCCCCCATCCTCCTCCCCCTCCTCGCCTCCCCCCTCTCCCTCCTCCTCCACCCAACCGGCATGCGCCAGGTGTCCGTTTCCTATTGCGCCGGGCGTGCCGGGGGCGGCAGCGTTGACAGCTAGCAGAGATCTCCGGGACTTGACTATTTCAAGAAAGGCAGCAATGGCTGCAACCTCTTTCTGTGTGTGGCGGGTGAGATGAAAAGGAGAAGGGAGACTGAGGATGGTTGACAGCTAGCAGCGACCTCCGGGATTTGACAATTTCGAGGAAGGCTGCAATGGCTGCCACTTCTTTCTGTGTGTGGTGGGTGAGGGGGTCAGGACGGGAGAATGGGAAGGAGCGAAGATGGTTGACAGCTAGCAGCGGCCTCCGGGACTTGACTATTTCAAGAAAGGCAGCAATGGCTGCAACCTCTTTCTGTGAGGAACGGGGGATGAGGAGAGATGACTGCAGGACGGGGAGGATGAGAAGGAGAAGGGAGACCGAGGTTGGTTGATAGCTAGCAGTGACCTTGACAATCTCGAGGAAGGCTGAAATGGCTGCCACTTCTTTCTGTGTGTGGTGGGTGAGGAGTGGAGATGAGTGGAGGATGGCGATGATGAGAAGGAGAAGGGAGACTGAGGTTGGTTAATAGCTAGCAGCGACCTTGACAATCTCGAGGAAGGCTGAAATGGCTGCCACTTCTTTCTGTGTGTGGTGGGTGAGGAGTGGAGATGAGTGGAGGATGGCGATGATGAGAAGGAGAAGGGAGACTGAGGTTGGTTACTAGCTAGCAGCGACCTTGACAATCTCGAGGAAGGATGAAATGGCTGCCACTTCTTTCTGTGTGTGGTGGGTGAGGAGTGGAGATGAGTGGAGGATGGCGATGATGAGAAGGAGAAGGGAGACTGAGGTTGGTTACTAGCTAGCAGCGACCTTGACAATCTCGAGGAAGGCTGAAATGGCTGCCACTTCTTTCTGTGTGTGGTGGGTGAGGAGTGGAGATGAGTGGAGGATGGCGATGATGAGAAGGAGAAGGGAGACTGAGGTTGGTTAATAGCTAGCAGCGACCTTGACAATCTCGAGGAAGGCTGAAATGGCTGCCACTTCTTTTCCGTGTGTGGTGGTTGAGGAGTGGAGATGAGTGGAGGATGGCGATGATGAGAAGGAGAAGGGAGACTGAGGTTGGTTAATAGCTAGCAGCGACCTTGACAATCTCGAGGAAGGCTGAAATGGCTGCCACTTCTTTCTGTGTGTGGTGGGTGAGGAGTGGAGATGAGTGGAGGATGGCGATGATGAGAAGGAGAAGGGAGACTGAGGTTGGTTAATAGCTAGCAGCGACCTTGACAATCTCGAGGAAGGCTGAAATGGCTGCCACTTCTTTTCCGTGTGTGGTGGTTGAGGAGTGGAGATGAGTGGAGGATGGCGATGATGAGAAGGAGAAGGGAGACTGAGGTTGGTTAATAGCTAGCAGCGACCTTGACAATCTCGAGGAAGGCTGAAATGGCTGCCACTTCTTTCTGTGTGTGGTGGGTGAGGAGTGGAGATGAGTGGAGGATGGCGATGATGAGAAGGAGAAGGGAGACTGAGGTTGGTTAATAGCTAGCAGCGACCTTGACAATCTCGAGGAAGGCTGAAATGGCTGCCACTTCTTTTCCGTGTGTAGTGGTTGAGGAGTGGAGATGAGTGGAGGATGGCGATGATGAGAAGGAGAAAGGAGGCTGAGGATGGTTGACAGCTTACAGAGACCTCCGGAATATAATTTGTCACGAAAGGCTGCTATGGCCGTCACTTCTTTCCGTGTATGGCTCTCAACTCTTCCCACTCACCGAATCTGATTTCCTCTTCCCATTCTCACCTTCTCTCTGGGCAGAAAGAGAAAATGATCTGTGGCCTCTTCCACCCTTTCTCACCTCCTCTCTAGGCGTCAGCCTGTCATTGCATTCAGGAAGTGAATGTCCAGGAACTTGGTGCGGACCTCTATCGAGTACCTATTAAACACCTTGCTCGTCCTCAGCCTATAGTCTCCTCCCACCCTCACCTCCTCTCTGGGCGTCAGTCGGTCATCCGTGAAACCATTCGGATAGTGGATGTCCAGGAACTTGGTGCTGATATCGCCAGACTCAAACGCCTGGGGCAGCAGGAGAGAGCATGGAGGGGCAACGCAAAGAGGGCAGAGCGGATTTCATTTTCGAGGCACGAGGCACCTCAACACAGAGACGTGCATGAGCAGAAAAGCTTAAATGGAAACTCCTCAAGCTTTGCATGGCAGCTCTGTCAGAGAGATTTGCCTGACAATCTAAACGTGGGAAAACCCAAACACGCACACACCCTCTAACAAGCGAGCAGAGTGGCAAAGTGCGAGCTGATTACCGGCTGTGAGAAGATGCAGCGGAGGAAGGAGATGTTGTTGAACGGCCCACACACATAATAACGATCCAAGGCGTGCTGGGAGACAAAGGGAGGGAGGAGGGAGACGAGACCTGAAGATGAATCAGATGTGTGTCTAGTATTATACACCATTCTAGGCCTTTTTGTTAGCAGTTTTTGGCAAACATATTGCTTCAAGAACTCTCAAAAACAAATACGGCAGTGCTTTTGCTAAAATGTCCGTAAAATACGACCGTAAAAAGAAGGGCCATATTTTACGGTAACCGGATTTTTTTTTATTTTGAACGTAAGCGAGTTTATTCTAGGCATATATCTGAGACAACTCGGAATATGGTTACAATTTCGGAACTGTACCTTCATGGACTCGAGGGCGTCCTTTCTCGTTGGTCCCCACGTGATTAGCTGGTAGGGAGGGATGGGGGGGGGCAGGGGAAGTGGTGGATGGGCATATTCTCACAAGTGTGAGGAAGAACTAAGTTACTCACAAGTGTGAGGAAGAACTAAGTTACTCACAAGTGTGAGGAAGAACTAAGTTACTCACAAGTGTGAGGAAGAACTAAGTTACTCACGAGTGGGACAGAGGTTTGACAGCAGGGATTGTAAAAAAAAAAGGAAAAAACGCAAACCACATTGAAAGTGGGAAAGAGAAAGCATGTTGACAGCAAGGGAAGAAAAAGGAAGTGTGAATGTGACTGATGAGATGCGAACACATGGCAGATTCCTTCATCTACTATGACCCCCCTTCTCTCCAAAGTGTGTCGCTACGTGCAACTCGTGGTTGTGGATACCGCGAGCATGGCACGTGGCGACACACCTCAGAGAGCAGTGGGTCATAGTACATGGAGATGTACTGCCCCTCCACCGCCCCTGTGTCCAGCCGCACACCATTTCAGTCGACTGACAGGTCACATACCTTAGACAACAGGGGGTCATAGTACATGGAGATGTACTGCCCCTCCACCGCCCCTGTGTCCAGCCGCACACCATTTCAGTCGACTGACAGGTCACATACCTTAGACAACAGGGGGTCATAGTACATGGAGATGTACTGCCCCTCCACTGCCCCTGTGTCCAGCCGCACACCATTTCAGTCGACTGACAGGTCACATACCTTAGACAACAGGGGGTCATAGTACATGGAGATGTACTGCCCCTCCACCGCCCCTGTGTCCAGCCGCACACCATTTCAGTCGACTGACAGGTCACATACCTTAGACAACAGGGGGTCATAGTACATGGAGATGTACTGCCCCTCCACTGCGCCTGTGTCCAGCTGCACACAGACTGTGTCATGTCGACTGACAAGTCAAATCAAATACCCTATCGCCACAGTGAGTGAGCCGTACTGCACACACCTTAGAGAGCAGTGGGTCATAGTACATGGAGATGTACTGCCCCTCCACCGCCCCTGTGTCCAGCCGCACGATCTCAGTCGGCGTCCGCACCTCCTTGGGCTCGCGATATCTGCGCAGCTTGCCTGTGGAGCTGGTGGGGGATGTGTGGAGAGGAGAGGAAAGGAGAGGAGAGGAGAGGAGAGGAGAGGAAAGTAGAGGGGAGGCGAGGAGAGGAGAGGAGAGGAGAGGAGAGGCGAGGAGAGGAGAGGAGAGGAGAGAGAGGAGAGGAGAGGAGAGGAGAGGCGAGGGGAGGGGAGGAGAGGGGAGGGGAGGAGAGGGGAGGGGAGGAGAGGTGAGGCGCGGCGAGGCGAAGAGGAAAGTTGCGCACCTCCTTGGGCTCGCGGGACGTGAGGAGCTTGCCTGTCGAGATGGTTGGTAGGAGAGGGAGGGGAGGAGAGGATGAGAGAAAAGGAAGTCAAGGGGGAAGGGAGGAAGGAGCGAAAGTGATGCAGTGTTGTGAGAAGCACTCCACTGGGCGGCCAGACTACCATCATGGAGGCTTAGGGTTGGTAGTCTCCAAGAATCACTGTTGAGAGGATTCTTCACACATGAGAATTCTTAACACAAGAGGGAGGATTCTTAACACAAGAGGGAGGATTCTTAACACAAGAGGGAGGATTCTTAACACAAGAGGGAGGATTCTTAACACATGAGAATTCTCAAAAGTGATTTCGATGGTGTTAAGAGGACAAGTAGCCTGCCTTGTTGTGACAAGTAGGCTGCCTTGTTGTGACAGGTGACTCACGGGAGGAAGTTCATGAAGGGATGCTCGCAGTAAACCCGAGACTCCAACGCCCACCCGTGGATCTTCCTTGCCCTCTCCTGGTCTATGGGCAGCGCATGGCCGGCAGCGGAGTGGAACATGAGGTGCACGAGGTCGAGACCCGTGACGCACTCTGTGACCGGATGCTCCACCTGCAGGCGCGTGTTCATCTCCAGAAAGAAGAAATTCCTCTGGGCGTCCACTAGGAACTCAACAGTGCCTGGAGGGAGGGCGGTAGAGGAAGGGGAGCAGAGGGGAGAGGAGGAACGGTTAGGATGCTCCACCTGCAGGCGCGAGTTCATCTCCAGAAAGAAGAAGTTGCGCTGGGCGTCTACTAGGAATTCTACCGTGCCTGGAGGGAGGCGGGGAGAGGGGCGGCAAGAGAGGGGAGCAGAGGGAGGGTAAGGGCACGTGTAGTTTTGAGGCGCCTCAAAACAAGAGAGGGGAGCAGAGGGAGGGTAAGGGCACGTGTAGCTTTGAGGCGCCTCAAAACAAGAGAGGGGAGCAGAGGGAGGGTACGTGGGCACGGTGTGTGTGGTGTGGGGTGGTTTTCATCTCGAGAAAGAAGTTCTACACATACCAGCAGCACAGTCGTAGCTGACTGCTTTGGCCAGAGACACCGCATGCAACACCAAGTTTAACGCCTCTCCCCTTGCCCGTCTTTTCCCCCCCCACCCCCCCTTTCCATTTCCACACATACCAGCAGAGTCGTAGTTCACTGCCTTGGCCAGCGACACAGCCTGTAACCTAATCAACTCAGCGACTTCCCCTTCCCCTCCTTGTCCTCTCCCCCTCTCCCCCCCCCCCCCCCCCCCCCCCCCCCCCCCTCTCCCTCCCTTCCCCCCAACGACGCACATACCAGCGGAGTCGTAGTTGACAGCCTTGGCCAGCGACACAGCCTGCTCGCCCATGGCCTCCCTCGTTGCCTCGTCCAGAAACGTGCTGGGCGACTCCTCTATCACCTGGCGATTGAGAGGTGGGAGGAATGGACGGAGGGGTTGCGCTAGAAGGGAAAGCGCGAGCTGTCTAGCATATGCAGGTTGGACGCTGTGAGAGGTGACAATGTATGTGAGGGATGGAGTTGGGGAGAAGCGGCGGAGGGGTATGATGAAGAACGTGCTGTGCTAAGCGCTTGGTTTGAAGTTTGGTTGTGTGTCACCTTTTGGTTTCGCCTCTGGATGGAGCATTCTCTCTCTGGTAGCCACACCTGGACAATCGACAAGGTACACCACCACACCACACCACACCACACCACACCACACAACACCACACCACACCACACCACACCACACCATACCACACCACACCATACCACACACACCATACCCCACCCCACCACAACACAAGACAACACAAGCACAGGGGCATGGTGTGTATTGCTCATAGAGACAGCATCCAGGTTAGAATCAAAGCCCAAACACGTTGGAGCCCTGCCACTTCACATGCGAACGCGAGGACCAGTCATAGTGAGTGGAGCAGTGTGGGAGGAGTAGCGACGATCTGCTATGCTTAATCTAGCATGCCAGTGAACGGGTGGGGCAGGAGGAGGAGGGGAGTCAGGATTGGTACGCACCACATTGCCATGCTTATCCCCCATGACCTGCACTTCGATGTGCCTTGGCTTGTCTATGAACCTGCTCAAGCCAGTTGCAGCAGCAGGAAAGGAACAGAGCAAGAGAGGCACTTAGTGGTTTAACCGGATGTGAGGTTCAACTGACTCGATATTCACAACGATGAGAATTATTGTACTTCATTAATGACAAAATCCTCACGAGATCTTGTTCCACAGACACCTGCATGCATACTGACAAGAACTATTCAGCACAAGAGTATCGTTCAGGGCACTAAAACAGTTCACGCCTAAGATGCGGACGGTTTTGAGAATCTCAAAACCGTCCACGCCTAAGATGCGGACAGGCAGACCGTTTGACGAAGATGCGGTCGTCAGCAAAGCTGGAAGCCACCTCTGCCTTGCACACAGACCTCTCCCCTGAGAGGTGGCTTTTGAGTCAACTCAGAAGCTACCGAGATGCGGACAGACCTTTCCACGAAGATGCGGTCATCAGCAAAGCTGGAAGCCACCTCTGCCTTGCACACGCTGAACTGCTCCCGCACCTCCTTCTCATTCCTGCACTCAGAGCAAGCGAGGGGATGGGGACAGAGGGAAAACCTCAAGTCAAGAATTGTGTAATTCGCCTGATAAACTCACCCGCATCCCTTACTATGCCCATTGCTGTCCAAACCAATACCCAGTTTAAATGGTTCTTCACTTGATTACAAGTTTTCTCCGTGGTGTGACAATGAAATTAACAAAAACTCTCAAGGTTTCACAGGATATGATTTTAAGAACCAGCTCATTCTTTCCTCTCACCTTGTCAGTCTGAATTTCCAACAAAACGTGTTCGAATCACGCCCATTCATGTAGGTTCTAAAGAGCCTTAGCATAACAAACCAGTCCGTGGGCAACAAAACGCGTGGACAGACCTTTTTTGCTTGACTTTTCTTTTCCTTCCTGCCCGGCAAGATGTTACGCGCTTTTACGCGTATGTGTACGTACGTTTACGTTGACGCGTAACGTACGATTACGTGGGGTCCCGTCACCGCACCCGTCATCATGGCACCTACACGGTACACCCCTCACACTCCTCACCATGCCACCCGCATGCCCTTGCCTCCTCCACCACCAGACGCCTTGAGCATGACTGGGAAGCCCACCTCTTGCGCTGAGGGAGAGAGAGACGAAAAGAGGACTTTTGAGGCGCCTCAAAAAAAGAAAACTCACCATGCAACACGCATGCCCTTGCCTCCTCCACCGCCAGACGCCTTGAGCATGACTGGGAAGCCCACCTCTTGCGCTGAGGGAGAGAGAGACGAAAAGAGGATTTGGGGAACGGGTGGTGGCAGGCAGCAGGGGTGGGGGGGGGACGGGGGGCAGGGTGAGAGGGATACGGCAGGGCAGGGGGATGGCAGCATGGAAGAATTGGCGCTTTGAGGAGCTAAAACATTGAGCACGAATGTACAGTTGTAGAACAGTATATAGCCCAAGCAATTTCCTTGGATAAACTTCACAATGGTGCCTTGGTTGATACAGAGAAAGATGAAACATGGTTCTTACAAATGAAACATGGCACCAGCGTGGTCCTCCTCCATTGGGTAATAATTATTGAAGTTCTTACCGATCTCAACCGCATGGTCCTCGTCCCTGATAACGTCCTCCTTCCCTGGAATGGTGTTCACCTTGGCCTCTTTCGCCAACCGCTTGCTGTGAATCTGGACGGGACAGCAGCCGGGGGAGGAGGACCAGAGAGAGGCGGAAGACCCAGATGAGGGGAATTGACTGGATGAGGGCGTACAGAAAGTCGGGTGGAAGGCTGGGCAGGAGGGGGGATCATATGTTATACTTTCTGGAAGCCCTTCCAGTAGAACCAGTCACACGTTCATTGTTTCTCAAATCGACCATGACTGCTTCAGGAGATTGCAGTCCCCCCTGCCCGCGAAGATCAAATGGCAGCCCGCCCTCCACGGCTCCGACAGCAATCAAGCAAGCTGCTAAAAGCAGATGCTCCTCACTCGGACCATTCTAGATGATTCTCAAAACTGGGTTTCAATATTTCTGCCGGAACGATAAGGTGTCATTGCGGGCATGTCAATACCTTTCCACCAAGTCTAGCACTGTCAGAGGCACCCCACCTTATCCCCCATGGCGTCAATGGCGTTCGGGTTGGGCCCCACGAACGTCACGCCCTCCTCATCTAGCGTTCTTGAGATGCCTCAAAAGCAGTCAGCCATCCCACTCACCTTATCCCCCGTGCCCTCACCCACACCCACCTTGTCCCCCATGGCGTCAATGGCGTTCAAGTTGGGCCCCACGAACGTCACGCCCTCCTCATCCAGCCGCTCCACAAACAGGGCATTCTCTGACAGGAACCCGTATCCGGGGTGCACCTGGGGAGGGTGGAAGAGGAGAGAAAGACCATTGCGTTATGCAACAGCACATGACATGCAAGGGTTCATCCTCCTACAGCTCCACAAACATGCCGTTCTCTGGCAGGAACGGCTTACTGGGGCGCACGGTGCACCTGGGGAGGGTGAAAGGGAATAAAAAGACCGGAAGCAAGGATGTGCAGGACGAGCAATGGAGCTAGTGAGAGGGATGGGCAGAGATACCTCCTCCTCCTCCCAAATGCTCCACGAAGATGCTCAATCAGATTAGAAGGATTACATGCATGCATGCAGCACTCACCACGTATGCTTTTTGAGAATTCTCAAAAAAAAGACAAAAAAAAGAATTCTCAAATATTTTTTTTTTTTAGAATTCTCAAAAAGGACTACATGCATGCATGCAGCACTCACCACATCGAGCTCTTGTTATGAACGGCATCCAGGACAGCATCCATGTGCATATCAGCTTCTCCTCCTCTGACCCCTCGTTTCAGCCCCTGTGCTCCTAATCGCGTCCAGCACAGCATCCATGTTCAGATAGCTCTGCACTATCATGTCAGTCTGTCCTACGTGCAGTCAGTTCAGAACGGGTACACATACATGCTTGGGACACTCACCGCGTCAGCCCCTGTGCTTCTAATCGCGTCCAGCACAGCATCCATGTTCAGATAGCTCTGCACTATCATGTCAGTCTGTCCTACGTGCAGTCAGTTCAGAACGGGTACACATACATGCTTGGGACACTCACCGCGTCAGCCCCTGTGCTTCTAATCGCGTCCAGCACAGCATCCGTGTTCAGATAGCTCTGCACTATCATGTCAGTCTGTCCTACGCGCAGTCAGTTCAGAACGGGTACACATACATGCTTGGGACACTCACCGCGTAAGCCCCTGTGCTTCTAATCGCGTCCAGCACAGCATCCGTGTTCAGATAGCTCTGCACTATCATGTCAGTCTGTCCTACGTGCATTCAGTTCAGAACGGGTACACATACATGCTTGGGACACTCACCGCGTCAGCCCCTGTGCTTCTAATCGCGTCCAGCACAGCATCCGTGTTCAGATAGCTCTGCGCTGTTGGTGCTGGGCCCTGGCATGGAGAGAGGGGAGTGGGTGGGGGAGAGAGGGGGGGGGGGGGGAAGGGGAGGGAGGGGGGGGGTGGTGAGGGAGGCGGGGGAGACATGAGAGCATGACAGAAGCACAAAGAATCACAGAGAAAAGGAACCACAGCGCATGAAATTGAGTAGGCGAAGAAGCCGCAACGGAAGCAACGACAGCAAGTGGGGCAGCAGCACTGGAAAAAAGGCCATACGCAGCTGACCTGATTCTTCAGCGAAAGCAGAAACAAAAAAGACCCCCCCCCCCCCTCCCCCCCTTATCCAAAAAAAAAAAAACGAGTCAAACGCAGCTGAAGGCAGGCAGGCAAGCAGGGCTCACTCACTCACCACACAGACGGCTTCATCCGCCATGCGGACGTGCAGGCTCTCCACGTCCGGCTCAGAATAGATGGCCACACTGCGAATGCCCAGTGCCCGCGCCGTCTTCATCACTCGGCATGCTATCTCCCCCCTGTTCGCCACCAGCACCTTGGAGAAGAGCTGCAGTGAGGAGGGAGGAGGCACTGAGCTTGTCGTCAGAAATAGTGGGAGATGGCGCAACCCTGTACTAGACCTACTAAGACTCCAGGATGTATGTGAGACTAACTTATTCCTACCTTCTCTTTAGGAATCTCGAGTTGACCAGCCGAGTCCGACAACCACCGCCGCTGGTGTGGCTGAAAAGGCGGCTGACGAGAATAAGGCTGGCGAGGCTGCAGCGGCAGCTGCTGAAGGGAGGCATAGGGCGGCTGTGAACTTTGCAGATGTGAAGAGGCGTCATGATGCGCTGCTGACGTGGAAGACGCAGTGGATGCGTCGTCGTGGCGTGACGCGTGGTGATAAAGGGACGACGTGGCGACACGTGTTGAGCGACCGGATTGTGCGAGACGCCTTGTACCAGGCGGGAGCCGGGAGAGGCAGAATCTCCACATGATGAGAGACGCTTGAAGACGCAACCAACGCTGTCTGCTATCAGACGTTCGAAGGATCAGCCAACAATGACAGACGCTTGACGCTTGACGTTCGCAACAAATCCTTCTCAGGCAACGATGAGAGACGCTCGAATGGCAACCAGGAATCGCAGACGCTTCACGCGGGTCAATACTAATATCCTCCTACAAACACGCTAATAGGGCATGAGCTGAACAAAAGGTGACTCTGCTGCTGCGCTGAAACCCCCAGCCGCTTTGTTCACCGCTTTCGACCGCGTCTAACCTTACTGCTCTTCAAAGTGGTCTAAGACGGAGGTCGTGGAGGCGAGTTGAGAGCGATAATGGTTCCTGAAAAGGAGTTGACGGGGTGCGATGGTGGATGAAAGACGCTGCGTCAATCGTTTCGACGATTTTGACAGGATCTCTTTCGTGAGGATATGAATTTCGGCGGCGAAATGGCGGGTTGAGGAGGATCGATAAGGGAAAAGCGACTGACGGATGGACGCAATAAAGCTGCGATAGGGCCGAAACGATGCAGGTGGCTGCGAACTGCGAGAATTTGACGAAAGTCTAAAACAAATGAAGTGGCAGAGCAGCAGGCGAGGCTGACGACGACGGGTCACTTGCTTCTACCCTCCAGCCCAGCAGCAGATGATGGCACTTATGAGAAGCAAAACAGCTAGTGAAACAACTGGCCTGGCAAGGACAAATGTTCCTGATGCAACAACATTTTTGTGTTTCTAGGAGAAAGCGAGCAGGGAGGAGCAGGTCTCCCTCCTCAACCTCCGCCCCTCTGCCTTGCACAGCGATGCTTGGCGAACATCCTGACAGCCAATCCTGAGGCTCAAAACAGATATCTGTACAGTACCAGAAGGTTTCGCCAATAATGTACTGTACAACAATCATCCCTTGGGTAGTCTGCACCTCGGGATTGCCGCCCAAGTGCGGAACCAGTTTCCCCGAGCCTGGGGAGGCTGGGGGGAAAATGAGGGACAGGTCTCGTTCCCGATGACCTCCAATCCCCAGCCATGGCGCATCTGGGTTCAAAAGACACGTCAGCAAGAAAGTGCAGCTTGATACCTTGGAGGAACGAATTCTGAGTAAGCGGACACGCAAGCAGGTAGCTTTGATGACGCAAAGCACTTGTGTTCCACTGGACCGAACGACTGTAGGGGTGGGGTGGGGACAGGATGTAATAGCTGTAATTTTACTTGGGGGGTACACTTTATGTAGCAAAGCATAAACGATATAAAACTTGATCTCAGATGATAAGCCCACGTACCAAGCAAACTATCTAGTTGTTCTGTTGCCTTGATATCTTGCAAACCATGTGTCTCCGCTCCACTCCACCCCTTACAAGCCTCGATGAGTTGAAAGGTCAAGGGTTGGTATGTTGGGCTGAGAAAAGCCCTTGGGATCTTTGCAGGGTTAAACTCTGGGTAGGAACAATGTAATAACGGAAGCGTTTAATGATAAGTCCTTGAACCACCTTGCGCAGGTATGTGAGGGCAAATTAGATTGATTAAAACAAGGAAATACAAGGTTTTTTATAAGAGTACAAGGAATACGAAGAGATATAACTAATAACTGTTTTACTGTTGCTGTTGCGGTTTGATACAGTGCTTACTCGGGCAACTGCTCAGTAACAAGTCAGTTGCTTATCCTTGCTGTCGCGCTGTATTTGTCCGGTCAAAGGTCGCTGACCTTTGACTTTCGCGTAACCTCCAGCGGTTGCTTTTCTTCTCAACCTCCAAGTGTTGACTCGCCGATGCTTCGCTGTGCTTTGCCTTGTTTACGACTTAGTGTTTCGACACACAACAGAAGCGCTTAAATTACTTGTTTTCAACACTCCCCTTCGATTCTGAGGTGTCACTGCTGGTGACGTGGCTTTGTCCAGTCAGCAGCATGCAGTACTCGAACTTCTGTTTTCCGAGTTTCTTGGTCAAGTAGTCAGCTGCCATCTCGGACGTGGGGCAATATGACAGCTCGAGTCTCCCCTTCTCGATCTTGTCCTTCACGAAGAAATATCGCAAGGCGATGTGTTTCGTCCTGTTCGCGAATCCGTTGTTGTTCGCGATGCGGTTTGCTGACTGATTATCGCAAAACAGAGAGAAGTTGGGTAACTGAGCCAGCTTCGCTTCTTCCAGTAGTTCGCGAAGATACAGTCCTTCCTTGGTGGCTGAGCAGAGTGCAATATATTCTGCTTCAGCTGCGGAGAGAGCAATTGACTCTTGTTTGCTCGATTGCCACGAGATGGGCCCGATAGGTTCAAATCGGTAGACGAAGCCGGTGCGCGAGCGCCTGTTGTCAGAATCGCCGGCGTGGTCGGCGTCGACGTAGCCGATCAGTTTGGGTGTAGTGGTTCTGTTCTTGTGATACGTTAAGCCGATCGTCGGGATGCTGACGAGGAAAAAAACTGCGGGGTCTAGCTCTGCCATGTGCTCCGCTGTAGGTTTCTTGAGGTAGGAGGCGAGCTGACTCGTCGAGTACGATAGGTCCGGCAGGCAGGTGACGGCCGCAAAGAGAAGGCATCCCAGCTTTCATTGGTAGTCGCGTATGCTGGCGGGCTTTAGTGGAGTGGAGCTTTCCTTGTGATTTCCGGTAGTGTAGCGGTATGGCGTTGAGATAGCGGTTGGGGTGAGTCCGAAACGTTTGGCGATGGTTGTGAAGAAATGAGGAATGAATGAACTAGCAAGCAGGTGGGTACAAGTAGGAAACCTAGAAATGTTGTACCCTATAGTGTCTACCCCACTACAGCCTAGATAGACCATAGCATATAAGTTTGACACACCCCCATAGGCAAAGTGGGGGAGAACAAGAGGTCACAAGACCAGACAAGCGAAGCAAAGCAAGCTCAGGGTGGATCACAACGTCACCACACATTCCAAGCACAAGTTCAAGACCACAAGGCCAGTTCACATGCAAGATCATATATAAAGGTAAACAAGCAAGTGCATGCATAGAAAGATCACAGTACAAGGAAGGTCAAGAAGTCAGCAAGTGAGGCCAAGTATGCACAAGACCTAGCATCGTACAGAAGCACTGGTGATCACAAGGCGGAAGTGCCTTAGTAAAGATATCACCAGTATTGGCCTCAAAGGCCACGTAAGCAAGGCGCAGCTGACCACACTGCTGCAGCTCACGAGCAAGAAAGTAGCGAAGAGCAATGTGCTTCGTTCTGTGCTCCAGTCTGTGCTCCCGACACAAGGCCAGCATGGCCTTGTTGTCTACGTACAGAACTGGAGGAGAACGAGGCGGCGCTCCTAGGTCAGTCAGCAGGTAGGTGAGCCAGTGTAGCTCCTGTGCAGCCATGGCCCCCGCGTAGATCTCCGCCTCACACCTGGAGCCGAGAACAAAAAACGAGTGGGTAGACCGCCACGAAACGGAGCCGGAACCAAGGCTGGAGGTGTAACCTTGTGACGACCGCTGCGTAACCTGGTCGTCAGCCCAAGAAGCGTTTGCGTGACCTGTGAGGACCACTGGACGTCGCCCTCCAAGCACTAGCCCCATGCCCGACGTACTGCACAAGTAGCGCAACACCCTCTTCGCTTCAGCCATGTGCTCTGGTCGGTGTCTCCAAGGAGCAACATAGCGTGCCAAGATGCTCTGGGTCAGGTCGTGTGCAGGTCATCAGGTACATGAGGCAGCCAACAAGCTCACGGTACGGGCCACTCGGCTCTACGGACTCATCCGAAGGCAGAGCTGAGAGCGAGTGGCGAGTAGACAGAGGAGTGGCCTGAGGCAAGGAGTACATGAAGTCGAAGTGCTAAAGGACCTGCTGCACCATGTGTGACCGAGTCAGGGTAATGGTGCGCTGTGCTCTGTCCAGGGTGATATGCAAGCCAAGGTAGCTGCGCAGTTCACCCAGGTCTGTGCACGTGTGTCTCTTGTGCGACTCAGACTTCACGTGGGCGAGTCCAACAGTGTCAGCAGTGGCAAAGACCAAGTCGTCGACGTACACGAGGATGTAGAACGGCGGCAAAGATGTGTCGGTGCACAGAAACAGCGCCGGGTCGGCAGTAGAGGGAGCAAACCCAAGAGCCGCAAGTGTAGTCCTCAGTGTGTCGTGCCACTCACGGGGCGTCTGGCGGAGACCATAGACTGGCCGCCGGAGGCTCCACTGAAGCCAGGTGAAGCCAGGTGGGCGGCGCAGCCAGATCTCCTCGTGCAGGCTGCCCTGCAGGAAAGCTGTGCTGAAGACAAGAGAGTGAAGCTCGTAGTCACGGTGAGTGGCTATGTGCAGCAGCACCCGAAGAGTGGTCATCTTCGGGGTGGGAGAGAAGGTCTGAAAGTAGTCAACTCCCTGCCGCTGACTGAAGAATCGAGCCACGTAACGCACCTTGAAGACACACGGAGAACCCGGCGGCCGCTTCACCCTGAAAATCCACATGCCACTGACGATGTTCGCCCCAGGTGGGGGAACCTCGTCGACAAAAGTGCCTGTGGACTTCCAGGAAGCCATCTCTGCGTCCATGGCTGACTGCCACTGTGAGGAGTAGGGACCCTCGATCGCCTCAGTGTACGATCGAGGAGTCGGGATGTCTGGTGCATCCGGGTCTCCCTCAGGGGCAATCAGTGTTAGAAGCCTAAGTTGACTTAGGACTTGGGTTGAGGGTAGAATGAGAATTACGAGAGGAAGGGGTCGAGAGATTAGCCAAAAGAGGGTTTCACCATAGACTCAAAGGTACAAATAGGCAAGAAGCATGACAAGAAGGTGCACCACCAAACATGATGATTAGGATAACTACACTTCAGCTAGAACTACATGCAGTTATAACAATATAATTCTGACATCCCCCCATAACTGCATGCAGGAATAGCCAAGTGCAAGACACAACCTGCAGGGGTA